CAACGCTTTACTACCTTTGTCACGGGAGAATGTCCCTGACAACAACATCAGCACAAAGATGCGCACCCGCTGCTCTAGGGTGGTCGCATCGTCATCAAGAGCCGCTGCCAACGTCGAGCGGCGAATTCCTCTAGCAATAAACTGAGTCGTCTCGACCTTAGCTCAGGCCCGAATAGCGATCGGCCCCAACAGCTCCTCGACCTCCGAAGAGAAGACGTCGATTCCACTGTCAAACGGCAGTGGCACAGAAGTGAACTCCAGTCCTGTGATGAGACTGAAGTCCGTAGGGGTGACCATCATCTCGCTCCAGGGGAAATGGAAGGTGTTGGTGGTGTTCCAGAAGATTTCCACCAAAGCACGCACTACATGATGACCCCCGCTGGAGGCAACCATAGCCTCAGAGGTCTCGAACAGAGTAGCTAGCCCGCAAGACTCCCATAGGAGTCTCGTCTCAAGATCCCTGGCGATGTACATCCTGTACAAATCGCCTAAACCATCACAGCCACAGCCGTGATGTCGTGTCCTCCCGGGCTCGGTGCCCTGTCTCACCCTCTCAGAAATATGGTGGACAGGGGCGAAGAACAGGCTCCGCTCATCCCACTCCGGAAGCCGACCAAGTGAAGTGGAAGGCTTAATGTCATCCTCTACGGGCTCATGCTCCCGTCTAGTGTTTCGGGACCGTGAACCCGAGCCTCGTTGTCTAGCCATGCTACATTGTGCAAAATTATCATGAATTAAGGTTCTATAGTATCTAAGGTTTGCCTAGCCACATGATACTATGTTTTCAAAAACAGATTACGTAGTACTAAAACAGAGCACAAATTCAAATTGAGCATGACAACATTTTTCAAGCAATTAAACAATTTCTTACAACACTATAGTGATTATTGTGAAAAACTGGACAAGAATTCCTAGCAAAAACATCAAGAACGAGTCGCATTGTTCTTCACGACCTTAAGAGGTCCAACAATGGCAAATTGCTCATTTCTTCACCAAATTGAGTCAAACAAGTCTCAATTTACCCCCAAAGCAATATATAAACATAATCAAGCAATTTCATGGTATAAAACATGACAAACAAAGCAAATTGAGCATTATAAGTTTCGAATTTTCATGAAATTCATGAATAAACATGCCAAAAATTCATAAAAACTGATGTGAGTTTAAAGGAAACTTACATAGATCAGGAAAGTAGATGAAAAGAGATTTGATTTGCAACAAATTTGAGCGAATTCGGTTGAGAAACGAGCAAGCAATGAGCAATTGAAGCTTTCGGGTTTCTTCGAGCAGTTTCGCGACGAGCAAAGCAGCGAAATGAAGAGGAAAGGGGTATTTAAGGAAATCCCCATGCTGGCGCCATGCCCTATGCATTGGCGTCACAAATTTGGCTTGGCGCCTGGCGCCAATATCAGCGCCTGGCGCTAACGCTAATAAGGTGGCGCTGATGGTTTTTCAGCGACGCCAAAGCACCCAGCCACCTGATGAGGTTGAGCTAGCCTTCTGCAACATATTTTTGGGTTCCTTGGTACGCCAGTTAGCCCTCTAAGCGATTTGACATGATTTAGTAATCGGCTTGATTACATAAAGTAATCGACCTGATCGTCTCACTTAGCTTAAAGCGCCTAAGAATTGGCTCATTAGTAAAACCACCGACATATAGGTTCAAGAGCAAAAGAGCACCGACGTACAGGTTCAAAATAACAGAAGCGCCGACGTACAGGCATAGCAGAAACAAAGTTCAGGCGAACTTTTAAAGATCGACAGGCGTGAATCTTTGGTAATTTCCCTTGGAAAATTATCGCATCAAATGAGGATGACTTCAAGAGAGGATGTCTTCGACCGCATTCCCTAGCTTGCGGAGAGTTGTCAAAAACAACTGGAGGTAATTTCGGGCGAAGTTGTCTTCGATCATATTCCCTTAGGCATGAAAGATGATCATAATGCAGATGAGGATTATTTCAAGAGAAATAATCTTCGATGGTGTTCCCTAGGATGTGGAAAATTATCAATGCGGATGAGGATTATTTCAAGAGAAATAATCTTCGATGGTGTTCCCTAGGATGTGGAATATTATCAATGCGGATGAGGATTGTTTCAAGAGAAATAATCTTCGATAGTGTTCCCTTGGACGTGGAATATTATCATTGCGGGGAGGATCGTTTCAGGCGAAGCAATCTTCTAATTTGGATGCAGTTACAGGCGTAGCGGTTTTCAAGTGGGATGGCATTCTCTAGCTTGCAAGAGGTCATCAAAACAGATCGGTTACTTTCAGAGACGTGTTCTCGACGGTGCAAGATACGCGTTTCTTAACTATTTTATCTGTTTAACTAACGTTAGTTTGCAGGTATCGGCGTTACAAGATTGGTTTAGGATCGCAGAACGTTCTGAATCATTCTCCGTCCCCATCGCTACTTTGGCTTTCGTTTTTCAAAACTTGCGTTTCTCCAAACTCAGTCAAAGTGGGGGCTTCTGTAGACACCCATTTGTGTCTCCCCAAAACCAAACCTAGTGATGAGTACCTTTTCACGTCGAATCATAATCGAATGAAACGAAAGTGTGGAAAGTCTAGTGTTGCGGAAAGTTTTAATTTCTTTTCTCTTCTTTCTGTTTTTGAAAACTTATTTAAAGAAAACAGCCAATCCAGTTTGGTTGGTCCATGATATGGTTCCAATATTAGTGTAGTTGGATGGGGCTTTCAAAGACCTTTCCAACGATATATTATAAGCCCAATTCCGATGAATATTGAGGAAGTTATGGCCAATTTACCAAACTGGGCCCGGTTTGAGCTTTATGTACGGCCCAATGATCTAGGGGAGGGCCTAATATGATTTATCATTCCTAATGAAATTAGGAATGGTTTTAGTCTTCTAGAATCTTCTAGAAGGTTCTTTTCATTCCTAATTCAATTAGCATTGATAAATTGACTTTTGTTTGCTTTTCAGAGTTTTAATTAAAATCAAATAGCATTTTTGAGGAAATTATATGATTTTATCCTCCAGTACGGTAAACTTATCGGATTTTCGAAAACGCGTTAAATTTAAGCTTGGCGCTTGGAACCAAGCCTGGCGCCTGGCGTTAGTGTTGGTGCCTGGCGCCAGCTAGCCAGGGTTGGCGCCAGCTCTGTTTTCTGAGCGTCAGACTCTGTTTTGTTTAATTTATCTTTTTGGCTGATTTTCTTTATAAATAACGTATTAAAAACTCCATTTTATGGATTCATTCATCACCTATTCTCTCTAATCATTCACCAATTCTCAGCATTCACAAGTTCTACAATTAGTTTTAATTATCATTCTTCATTCATCGTTCTTCTTACTTTGCTTTTTCATACAAAGTTCCTCATTCACAAGATATAGAAACACCTATCCATATTCGAAGTTGCCTTCGCCCTAGACGTGAAAGGTATTAATTTCTGAGGGTTTGGTCCCAAATCTCTATTTCAATTATTTAATTTAATTGTTTGATTATTATTTTCCTTGAAGTTAATAACGTGTGTATTTTGTTATTAGAAAGAGGTACGAGGCATCAAAGTAAGTACTTTAATGATTTATTGATTTAATGATGTAGAAATCATGTTTAGATTGTTATTATGATATTCCTAGTGTCATGTCTAGGGTAACTTTAATATTAAATATGATTCCTGCGATGCCTTTTATGTTCTTCCTAATATTTATGATTGTTAGTATCATGTTAGGGCTAAAGATTTGATTTTTATTGCTTAGTGACATGCTAGGGTTTGTTATTAATCCTGTTAGTATCATGCCTAGGATCTTGCTATTTTTATTATGCTTTAATATTAACATGAACATGATTATGATTATAATTGTTATAATTTATGATGATTATGAATATTATTATTATTATTTTGATGATGATTATTTTATTTATAATTATTATTCATGATCATAATTAATTTATCATGTTGCTTGATATTTAATTGCTTGATCACACCTTTTATGCATGTTTAAAGGGAATTTGTACTTGTAATCATGCTTAATAAGATATTAATAATCTTGTTTAGGTTTAATTTGATTATAATTTCAAGTGATCGCCAAAAATAAATTTATTTGTGTATTATATTCAACCAACATAGATAAACAAGTTTAGGGTTAATCCTATTGATTGCATGTTAGTCAGAAAGCGCACATTCATACGATCAGAATAAAGTAGAGGCCTATTATTAGGGCAGGTTCAACCTCTTTTAGGTTGGATTTGTACCTTCATCCCCGAACCCTTATTTGGTTCTAGACCATGGAGTTGACGATCTCTTGGATTGTTAAGGGGTGTAACCTTCATCCTAGGGGTGAGCAAAAATTCCGGGTACCCGGAATTGGAACCGGAACTGGTTAGGAACCGGCGGGTTCGGAACCGAGATTGGACCCGGTGGTTCCAATTCCGGGTAATAATTTAAGGACCCGGTTATAACCAATTCTAATTCCAATTCTCAACTTTTTGGACCCGGAACCGGTAGGGTACCCGATTAACCAATATATCCTAAATTAAATAAATTTTAAATAATAAAAATATGTTAAATGTATCTAATTTGTGCAATAAAAAAAGTATTATTAATACCTAAGATGAATACAAATAGCTTAATGCATATATAAATATAAGTATTAAACACTAATAATGATACTAACTAAAATAAGAATTATAATTTGTATTATATTTTAACAATTACATACATAAGTGGGTACCAGGAACCGAAACCGGTACCCAGTGGTTCCAATTCCAATTCCTAAAATTTAGGACCCGGTTTAACCAATTTCAATTCCGGTTCCGAATTTTAGGACCCGGTTCCAACCAATTCCAAGTCCGGGTCCTAAAATTTTGGCCGGGTACCCGGTTTGCTCACCCCTACTTCATCCTATGAACGGTTTACAAGTTCCTAAAAAAAACTTGTTGGCGACTCTTTTGCTCTATCTACTTTCCTTTTGGACGCCACCGTACTTTAGTGTATGATCACAGTGGGGTTCAAGCTAGTGGGATTTTAAAAGCTTGAAAATATTCCCTACACTTAGGGTTTCACACATTTCCTCAGCCGTCACTCCCCTCAGAAATCATTCTCTAACTTTCTCTTTCACTCACTCACTCTCTTTCTCTCTCCTCTTTAGAACTCACTGTCTTTCTCTTTCTTCAAGATTCATTCTCTTTTACTCTCTTTACCACCTCTCCTTACCTCTATATTCTCTTTCCTCTTGATTATGCGTTTTTTTTTTAATTTATGTTTTGTTTTTGCTACTAGATCTGTAGCAATTAGATTCAAATTGGTAGAATTTTTGGGTTTTATAATTAGATTTTAATCTGATTTTTATTTGAATGATTTTTGCTAGTTTATTGTTGAAAACCAAAAGGAAGTGAAATAAGAGGCGAAAAAGAGGAAGAAGTCACTAACGGCAACGGAGAAATCAAAGGTTAGATCGTTGGAAACCACCGCTTACAAGGATATATAGGTTCTTAGATCTTATTTCTTTTAATTTTTTGTTACTTGTTACCCTTTTTTTTCAAGTTCTATGATTTTTTCTGGATTTTAAAATTATTTTTGGGAATTTTGTTTTTATTTCTTGGAAAATCGATTTAAATGACTTAGTTTTGGGAATTTTTTCCGCTTCTCTTTCGTTCTTCACATTTGGAAAATTCTCCCCTTTCAATTCCCAATGCAACTTCAGAGAATTCAACAATGGCGGCTTCAATCAATCAATTAGGGTTTGTAATTTTCGCTATGATTCTTGTTTCATGTTCAATCTCAGCAATAGGGGATTCAGAATCAGCTTTTATTGTAGCTCACAAGAAGGCTACCCTTACAAAGCTCAGCAATGGCGTCGAACGTATCTCCGTTTCTATCGACCTCTACAATTGTGGATCTTTGTATGCGTTTTCTCTTTTCGATTGATTCTGCATTTTCTGCTATGATTTTAGATCTTGTTTGCGTTTGAATTTCCATTTTTATGAATTTCATAATTGAATTTTGTTTTCTGTGTTTGATGTTTTTTGTTTGCATGTTGATTTAGAGGAAGTAATAGTGTTGGAAATGAATTTCGGTTTCAATTGTGTATTTTAATCTTAAATTATCCGCACTTGTTTGATTTTGTGAGTTTGCTGTTTGAGAAATACTGTAGTTTATTTGTAAGGTTGAATTGCTACTATTAATCCTGTGTTTTAGGACCTTTGCTGCTGTTGGTGTGGATCCTTTTGTTATGGGGTCTGGCCCAGCTTTTGCCATTCCTGCTGCTGTGAAATCTGCCGGGGTAAAGCTTAACGATATCAATCTATTTGAGATAAATGAGGTTAGCACTCTGAACAAGCTGCCTCATATTTTCAGTTGGTGACTTCAACACCATTTCTCAAATTTGTAACATCCATTTTCAATGCAGGCCTTTGCATCTCATTATGTTTACTGTTGTAAAAAGCTGAACCTCGATCCAGCAAAATTTAATGTTAATGGGGGAGCAATAGCCCTTGGACATCCCTTGGGAGCTACAGGTATGCATTTTGGTATTACTAGAGAAAATGCTTATTGAGTGAGTTAGGATCTGTTTGGGGAGGGGGGATTTATATAAGTAAAAATCAGTTATACATTGTAAAACTCGGTTATCAGCAGAAATCTAAATCTAATTTCAGTGCGTGAAATTAGTTTTAATCTGTTAAAATAAGGTAGACAATAAAAAAGCCTTGCTGATTAGTGTATTGTTGTACTCAATTCCTACTTTGCTCTTTTTTTAGGTGCCCGGTGTGTAGCTACTTTACTTAATGAGATGAAACGCCGAGGAAGAGATTGTCGTTTTGGAGTCATTTCCATGTGCATAGGTCTCTCTCTCTCTCAACACCTCATGCGTGCAACCTAAAAGCTAATTTAATTTTGTAAAGTTGAAGCCACTAGAATAACCTCAAATTGATTTTGGTTTGACTGTTTTTTGCAATTGATTTTGTTCTGTAATTTGATTGGTTTTTGGTTCAGATCTGATGAAGTAAATTAATTGATGAATTTTTTCATGTTTTGATGTTTTATTATTTGGATTTTAGATTGTTTTACGATTTTTATGCTTTTTTTTGTTCATGTTTTGTGGATTGATTGCTTCATTTTTATATGAATCCTTATATATCGAAGTTATTGGATTGTTGAATTGAAAAATTGGATAAAATGATATATGATTAAATATTTATAACAGAGTTTTAAGTATTTGATGTGTTTAGCTGATGAACATGATTTAAAGTTTAAGAATTTCCTGGAGTCCGAATTTTGAGATCTTGATTCATTAATTGATTATAATGCATTACCTGATTACTGATTTGACTTTAAGGTTTAAGAGTTTCATGATTTAAGGTTTTACTTTTTTTTACTTTTTACTATTTAGTTTTAATTTCAGTGTGAAATAATTTGTTCATGTCTGCCAGTACTGCAAGGATTAAGCCTAGTGATAAAAAACCTGTGGAAGATAAAGTGCTATCTACTGTCTGCTGTCTGTTGGAAGTTTTGAATAAAGTGCTATCTGCTGTCTGTTGCATTGTGTCATATGAATTACTGCATTAGCTAGTATACTAAAAAACTGTGATCATATATATGAATAAATTATTGTCATTATATTGTTACATTGAGTATGTAACGGTTATGAGTGCTAGCGGAAGCAAATAAATTCATGGACATTAAACCCTAAAACCTATAAAATAGGACAACCCCTTAATTACCAAAGTGTAAGATATATTGCCTTTGTATCTTTCTGGTTACAGAAGTATTATTTACTTTCATTGATGTATCTTTCTGGTTATTTGAAGAATAAGCTTTCCTATATTGTGAAAAGATCTAAGAATTTCACCCAAATAAAAGGTTCATTGCTATAGTAGGATCTGTCAGGCACCTCATAATTCTCTTTTTCCCCGTAATGTGTGTGTGTGTGTTGTAAGTTAGAATTGACTATCTTTAATATTGATTCATTTATGTGAAATCAACAAGAAAACTAAGGTAAACACCAAAAGCTCACAACCATGGCAGAATCCATTGTTGCATCAACTGTCCAGTGGATTGGCTCTATATTGATTCAACACGCCAATATATTATTTGATGTTGCAGATCATGTCAGGGGCCTTCAGCAAGAGATTGAACTGATGCAGCAATAGCTTTGGCCTAAGAAGAATCAATGAAGCAGAAGGTTTGGACTAAGAAGATCATTGAAAAGTTAAATAGCTTTGGACTAAAAAGAATCAATGTAGCAGAAGTTTTTTAGTTTTAACTATTTAGGCAATAATAAATGTATTTTTTTGCTCATTGTATCAATATGAAGTACTATTTTTATCTCAATTAATTAATAAAATAATTGTGCTATAATTTTTATGCAAGCTAACTAATCCAGCACAACATGTGCTGGATTTTTTTTAAAATTGGGTTACACACTATTTGTAACAGGCAGATATCATGCCCGTTACAAATAACGGGGTTATTTGTAACGGGCAGTTGAAATTCCCGTTACAAATAACGGGGTTATTTGTAACGGGCACTTGAAATGTCCGTTACGAATAACGAATTATTTGTAACGGGCACATGAAATGTTCGTTACTGTAGACACCCAAATGTGTCTCCCCAAAACCAAACCCGGTGATGAGTACCTTTCACGTCGAATCATAATAAAATGAAGTGAAATTGTGGAAAGTCTAGTGTTGCGGATAGTTTTAATTTCTTTTCTTTTCTCTCTGTTTTTGAAAACTTATTTTAAGAAAACAGTCAATCCAGTTTGTTTGTCCATGATATGGGTCCAATAATAGTGTATTTGGATGGGGCTTGCCAAGAGCTTTCTAACGATATATTATAAGACCAATTCCGATAAATATTTAGGAAATTATGGCCAATTTACTAAACTGGGCCCGGTTTGAGTCTTATATGCGGTCCAATGATCTAGGGGAGGGCCTAATATGATTTATCATTCCTAAAGCAATTAGGAATGGTTTTATTCTTCTAGAAGGTTCTTTTCATTCCTAATTTAATTAGCATTGATAAATTGACTTTTGTTGACTTTTCAGAGTTTTAATTAAAATCAAATAGCATTTTCGAGGAAATTATATGATTTTATCCTCTAGTACGGCAAACTTATCTGATTTTTGAAAACGCAATAAAAACAGGCTTGGCCCCTGACTCCAGGCATTGGCGCCTGGAACCAGGCCTGTTGGCGCCTGGCGCTAGTGCTGGTGTCTGGCGCTAGTAAGCCAGGGTTTGCGCCAGCTCTGTTTTTTGTGCGTTAGACTCTGTTTTGTTAATTTTATCTTTTTGGCTGATTTTTTCTATAAATAACGTATTAAAAACTCCGTTTTTATTCACCGATTATTATCAACAATCAGTTTTAAATAGCATTCACCTACAATAAGTTTTCATTCAATTAATTCTCTTAATCATTCATCTTTCTTCCTCTCTTTTTCTAAACTAATCTTGGTCATACAAAATTCCGCATTCACAAGATCAAGAGGTACGAGACGTGAAAGGTTTAATTTTTGAGGGTTTGGTCCCAAATCTCTATTTCAATTATTTGATTTAATTTTTTTGTTTATTATTTTCCTTGAAGTTACTAACGTGTGTATTTTGTTATTAGAAAGAGGTACGAGGCATCAAAGTAAGTACTTTAATGGTTTTATTGATGCTATGATGTAGAAATCATGTTTAAATTGTTATTATGATATTCCTAGTATCATGTCTAGGGTAATTTTAATATTAAATATGCTTATTATGATTCCTGCGATGCTTCCGATGTTTTTCCTAATATTTATGATTGTTAGTATCATGTTAGGGTTAAAGATTTGATTTTCATTGCTTATGGACATGCTAGGGTTTGTTATTAATCTCGTTAGTATCAGATCTAGGATCTTGCTATTATTATGCTTTAATATTAACATGAACATGATTATAATTATAATTGTTATAAATGATGTTTATGAATATTGTTAATATTATTATTTTTTTGATGATTATTATTTTAATTTATTATGATTATTATTTTTATGATTATTATCATCTCGATGATGATTATATTTTTATTATTCATAATTATTTATTATTATTATGTTGCTTGATATTTATTGTTATTGCTTGATCGCCTTTATGCATGTTTAAAGGGAATTTTGCACTTGTAATCACGCTTAATAAGATAATTAATAATCTTGTTAGGGTTAACATGATTATAAATTCAAGTGATCGCCAATAATAGTTTATTTGTGCATTAAATTCAACCAACATAGATAAACAGGTTTAGGGTTAAACCTATTGATTGCATGTTAATTAAAAAGCGCACATGAATACGATCAGAATAAAGTAGCGGCCTATTATTAGGGAAGATTCAATCTCTTTTAGGTTGGATTTGTACCTTCATCTCCGAACCCTTATTTTGTTCAAGACCTTATGGAGTTGACGATCTCTTGGATCATTAAGAGGTGTAACCTTCACCCTGTGAACGGTTTACAAGTTCCTAAAACTTGTTGGCGACTCTTTTGCTCTATCTTCTTCCCTTTTGGACGCCACCGTACTTTAGTGTATGATCATAGTGGGGTTCAAGTTAGGGGTTAACGCTTTAAATTTATTCCCTACAATTTTTGGAGACTCCGCTGGGGAGGATTTCTATTTTAATTCCTGAATTTTTTTCGGCAATGATTTAGAATGAGTGGATGAGACTCGAAACGTTTTAAGTATTTCATGTGCGTAATTTTGATTAACATTATTGTCATATGCATAAAAAAAAAAGATCTCATTGGAAAGACCATCCGTAATGAGTTAAAAACATAGGATTTTACATGTAGGAAATTTGAGAAATATCTTTCACAACTAGGACCGAAATAACATAGCGCGAAAGTGGAAAATTTTATCGAGCACAGAAAGTTGTTGAGGCATGTGGGAAGTAGCGCCAGAGGCCAGAGCTTGACGCTAGCATTTTAGCCGTAGCGCCAGACGCCAGTATTGGCGCCAGGCGCTACAGTTAAAAGTTGGCGCAGTCTCTGATTGTTGGCGCCAATTTCCCCTAATACCGAGCCAGAAATATGCGTTCTAATTTCGACCGGTTTTTCGTATTGTTTGCTCGATCCTACTTCCTTATTGAATTTTTTCTCACTTTTCTGAAACCCATATGTGTTATACATATGGACATAACCCTCTGGGAATTCATGCTCCATCTACCCGATTGAATGCTCCGTGCAACAAAGGGTACATCCGAGATGTTGAATTCACCAAACCATGGAAGCGAGTTTTTTCTAAAACTCGCGGTGTCCCATCCACTCGCGCCAACCCTTCATGGTTAGGCTTCCGGACAATTAACCATGGACCCTCTACTGACTAAACCATATCCCGAACTTTAGAGAACTAGAGCCATGGTTAGATTGCAAACTCATTGCATCATATTATGCTTACTAGACTAATTTTGCATTATTTGTTGTGCATACTCTATGTGATTTTTCCTAACCGTTTGTTTGACTTGTGTTAAGACTAAATAAACTGATTAATGACTAAAGAACATTGTTTAATTAATTAATTAATGTGAGCTAATAAATAAACATAAAATCGAGTCATAGTTCCTTTAAGTCAACCCGGATTTTTATTCCCGTATACTGCACAAACATCAACTTGTTTTTGTCATAGCCGGAGTCCTAGGAAGAAGAGTCATACAACCTATGGATCTGTAGCCCCGAATTTTATCTTTATTTGGCGTTGGTTTCATCCAAATCAAAGACACAGATAAAAAGTTATGACTAAAATACCACAGTCTGTCCAGTTTAATGCATATACGTGAAGTCTTAACTTAGTCTTTCCTTGAGTCTAGTCACATAGTCTAGCCACATGGTCATGACACGAGTCTTAACATATCACTTACACTCACTAGTCTTAGCACACACTTTGAGTATACATCACCATGACCGTGTCTTAGGTTCATGCATGAGTCGGTTTTTTTTTTCTTCATTTGAGTTAGGGGGTACATTCTATTCCTAATTCTTCATATCCCTCCGCCTCCATCATCTTTTTCTTTTTTCACATTCTATTCCAATCTTTCTTCACTTCCTCCATCCATTGCATGTTGAATGAAGTTTGAGTCAAATAATTAACAATAAATACCCCAAATTCCTTTTCCACAGTACTTGGTCGAGGAAAGAAGGGTGATTAATCAAGGACAACCTCTTTATTCAACTCTCACTTTTTGATAAACCAATTCGTCAAAAGAGGAAGTCTAAGAAGGATAATGGCAACTCAAGAAGAAGTCAATGAGCTTAGGAACCAATTGGTTACCGTGACTGAGACACTGAAGCTACTCACACTCAAGATTGAAGATCCCGTGAAGCAATAACAAATGAACCTCATGAAAGAGAGTCTAAGTAAGCTATCTAGTGACTATAAATTTCAGGGCATGAGTTCACAAGGGGTCTCGCTGGACAAGGAACTTCTTCCGCATAAGTTCAATGCCACTGACATCCCTAAATTCAAGGCAACAGATAACCCTTACTTCCATTTAAGAGCTTTCGAAACCATAATGAGTATTAAGGGTATCGATAAGAAGGTTTTTCCCTCTATGTTCCCACTATCTCTTGAAACCTTTTACCAACAATGGTTTTTCTCCCTTGATAAGGAGAAAACCTCTACCTGGGAATCAATAGTAAACGCTTTCGTTGATAGATACAAGTGCAATATTCAAGTCGAAACCGATCATAGACAACTTGAGATGCTAAGACAAAAAGAGAATGAAGGCTTTACTTCTATCTTTAATAAATGGAGGGAAACTTCCGCCAAAATGATTGAGGTCCCCACCGAAAAGGAGTCTGTGAGGATGTTTATAAAGAATCTCCAAGAAAAGTATTCAAAGCACTTAAAATATCAATACAACTTGAATACTTTCAAGGTCGTTTATGACATCGGAACTGAAATCGAAGACGACCTCGCAAAGTAAAAAGCTACTAACAATAGTAACCACGGTGGCAGGAAAGGAAAGAAGAACGACAATCCATCTTCTTCCGAAAACGCCCACTCTAGTAATAATGTTAGTAACTTTGACCATAATGGTGTCTTAACCATGGACAATCAAGGATCTAAAAGGAAACCCAGGCAAGAGTTCACACCCATTGGAATGACCTACGATGCTGCTTTCGATCGTCTCTATGATCGAGGATTAATCAAACCTATTGGCCCTACCGAGGATCCAACACCAGAAAATCGATCTTCGAGATGGAATCCAAATTCCTATTGCAAGTACCATCGAGGGCGCGGTCATACTACTGATGAATGCTACAGGTTTCAACACAAGACAAGATCTC